GCCGATGAAGCCGTCACAGTTGCGGCTGGTGCGGTGAGCACCCGCTCCATACCGCCGGTTTTCAGATCTGAAAACAGTCATACTATAGAAATTATTCGCAATTATAGAAAAAGTTACAAAAATCAGGGAAATTCAGGCATCAACATTAAATTTTGTGGAAATTCATAAGAAATGACACGAAATGTCTTCGAATTGACAGAAAATCACTAGCGACTAGCGGCGCTTTGCAGACGAGAGGAACGACGATGACGCTCAACGGGCTCGTTCATCAAATCCAGCTATTTCATTAAACGATTCGTTGCGAGGACAATAGTGAGCAGTCAAAAAAGAATTAGTAAATAAAATTTGGGATATGATGACTATTTTATAAATTCACTGCAATGATTATAAAGATAAGGTGTAGATTGAAAGGTAAATAGATATTACCAGCTTGGTAGCATAGTTTTACGTTAAATTTGTTGAATTAACTGCTTTCAAGCAGTATATCAAGACCAGAACATAAGCTCCCTAGAACTTGTGAAAAAAAATCACTGAATTTTACAACAAGAAAGCTCTCAGTGCTTCATGGAAGAAAAATCGCCTAAGGAATTTGGTGCTATACAGTTTAAGCACAATGCTACTTTTTCTATTATAATTTATTTCTATCTACAAAAAAATTCTTCTGAGCTGAAAAAAATGCAACAAGTGTTACACACTTTGTAATTACAAAATCGTCATTTCTAGTAAAACAGATGACCAATAAAGTAGTGAAAAAGAAATAGGAAAAATTTCGAGTTAAGAAACTATTAATAAAAGGAATGTAGATAAAAATCTAATCCAAAAAACAGTTAAATGTGGACAAGATCTCACGACAGGGGCCTTCCCAAGCACGAATAGTAGTGAATCATCGAAAATTCCAGATTATTAAAAAAACAGTTAAGTGAGACCAATAAAGGTAGTCCACATTGACAAACAACAATCCAATCTCAAACGATGAACTACCAGCTAAAATTAGGCTTAGCCTCAATAGTATATTGTACACATGTCACCAATACCCACAACAATCCATTTCATAGAATATAGAGAGAAAACGGGGCGGAGAACTTGGGGTGGACCAGCGGATCCGCTGGCCCCAAATGGGCGTGTCCAGGCCGAGACGATGAGCCCTAATGCAATAGTCTCGACCCCAATCAACCTCACTCCGTAACGCGAAACAGCCGAGGAGTTTCAACGGATGGAAATTTACATGCTGACGGCAATGCAGCACTAGTCGCTCGTGCTAGGGTGGAGTTACTGTACAGTTACAAAACTGGTTTTTTATGGAAGGGAAGGGAGTGTGTAGTGATAAAGCCAGATTGCACTTGCAC